TTACATATGATATAAAATATAATCTTTTATTTATTTTTGTTATATTAAAATTATATAGTAATTTCTATATATATTTTTAAATTTTAAAATATCTATATTAAATTATATGATATTATGTTTTGCATAATATAATACACATAATGCAAAATATATATCTATAGTATTAATAGATATTTATTATTATATTCAGAGCTATAATTTTTATACTTATTTTTACAAAAATCATAAGTTAAAATTTAAAATTTTAGCAAGATTTCAGTAAGCAATCAGTAGAATATTAGATATTTTTTTAGTTAATAACTACTAGATACTTAGTATATATTATCTATCTATTAGATAGATATTGCTTTTGATAGGCCTATTAGATATTTGATACTTCTATTATAAAATATCAGATATCTAATAGAAGTATCTAATATCTAATAGACCTATTAAAAGCAATATCTATCTAATAGATAGATAATATATACTAAGTATTTAGTAGCTATTAGTTAAAAAAATATCTAATATTCTACTAATAGCTTACTAAAATCTTGCTAAAATTTTAAATTTTGATCTATAAATTTTGACCAAAATTATTTACATGATCAATATTATATATAATTTTGATTTTAGAAACTTATACAAACTTTCATAAAATTACTGTAATTTTACAACTTTATTCACTATCTTTTAATTCTCTAAAAATTTTATAAAATATGAGTATATATTATCATCATCTGAAACTAAGAAGAATGTTTACAATTAAATAATTGTAGCTATAGTAAGCTTTCAATTTATTAGCATTTATTCTATTTATTATGAATTTTTAAAGTCTAACTAGTACAGAACTAAGAAAGAAGGAAGAACTTTTATAACTGAAGCTGCAGCTACAATTTGCTTTTATTTTTTAATATTTACACTTAATGACAGCATATTTTTAGATATATAATGACTTAACAAACAATTTAGTAAACTTACATATTCCATATAAATACAATTTACTTCAAGATGTTTCAAGTTATTAATAATTTCTTTTTCAAATCAGTTTCTATTTTTATATTAGAATTAGATATTTTTTGAAAAAAAAAATTATTTTAAACTATTTATCTTTCATTGAAAAATTTAGCTTTTCTGTATTATAAATCCTGATGTATTATTAAGAGTCTATTTATAGTTAGATTATTAAATATTATAAGTTAATAATAGGTAAAACAGGGTTTAAAAATTATTAAAAAATATGAAGAATAAAAGTTGGTCAATAATAATAATATTTTTATATTAATATAAGGTTACACTGTTGTATAATAGTAATATGCGTTGTAAAAGGGGGAGTTACCATCTCAAGTAATACTGCAGCTCTAGACGTAGTATGAATTCTGAAAATTCTGTGGCAGATTAAAATGAAATTCAAATTAAAATGAAATAGATATAATCAGATTGGTTAAGGTTAGAGTGATCTACAAAATTTAGCCAATAGAATTATTAATTTCATTTTAATCTGAACCTCTTGTAATTGAAGTCACAAAGCAGTATATTATTATAAGTCACTAGACTTTCTATATGATAATAGATCGTTCATGACAATATGTATCTGAGTAACTTGATGATCAAAGGTTTCTTTGTTCATAAATTTTTCTGCTCAACATTGTATCTAGCTTCCCTCCTATCACACCCAAAAAAAAAAAAAAAAGGAAGAGAAAAGAATAATAAAGAGGAAAATAAGAAAGTAAGTAAAGTAACAATACGATATTTACAAAAGGCTGGTCACAAGATACTAGATTGCTTGTTCAGTGACCCTATCCCATACTGTACTACAGATTAGGTATAGATATATTGTTGGCCATGGAAGTTGTTCATTTGATAGAAAAGACAGGTTCTATGATGAATAATAATAATTCATTTTAATTCACAACAATAATTGGTATTGTAAGAATTATTAAAATTTTCAAAATAGATATCATTATGTAAATTGTTATAGTTACCTGAATTCTTAATAAAATAGCAATATTAGTGATAATTAGTATAGTTAGTATCGATAGCATTATTATTATTATTATTATTATTTTATTATATATGTAAAGAAAGTATATATTAGGTGAAAATTCTCTTTCAATAAAATTAACTTACAGAGTTTGAAAAGTAAAACCTTCTGAGTCTTGAATAGTCTTAAAAGAAGTATTTGTTTGTCTCTAAATATATTTCCTTTTCAATTATTAAAAATCGTTTTTCTTGAATCATTAAATTTCTCTATTTTGTCCACATGATATTTCCTCATAAAATCCAGTTTCTAGTTAGAGTAAAAGTACACAAATTATTCTATCACATATTCTTTTATAGTCCTTAAACTGATCAAATAATTCACAATAATTTTTTTGCCTCATGACAACTAAATTGTGACCAAATTGTGATCAAATTGTGACTTCCGATAAATATGACTAAGACAATTCCTAGACCCAACTACTATAATCAAATTACCCAAGTAACTCTAACCTCAGACCAAGTTAATCCTCGCCTCTTTCAAGCCTTATCCAAGCTAGGATTACCTCTTAGTTGGATTCTTTGAATTATCCCAGTTTATTTGTATAGATTAGTGAACCTGAAGCTCTGTATAACTAGATCTCCTAACCTAAGACCAATTTTTCCATATACTTATTTCTGCCTAAAAAGGGGGACAATTAAAGCCATGTACCTTAGGGTTAGTTTTTTTTGATGCAGTTAATAGATTTATTTATATATAGATATCAAGAATGGAAGTTATGCAATATGTAGATCTATATGTAAAGATACATAGCTTTAATCGATTCCTAAAAAAGAAATTTTTATATGTAAATCATTAGATTAGGTGTAATATTTCGTGTAATATAAAATCAAAGACATTTATAAAAATCAGCTGTAACTTTAAGATTTGACTTAGAAACCACTTTTTGTACTCTAATTAAAAAAATTCCTTGCTAAATTTACGTATAATAACCAAGCTTTAACCCTAACCCTAACCCTAATGTCATAAATTCAACGTTTTATTAATAAAAACTAATAAAAATAATTTTTGGGCTTTGTATCATTTGCAGAAATAAGTAAATTCTAGTAGCAAGTAAATTTCAGTAGCGCTAATTGTAAATTATTTCCTAGTTTATGTGTTAATGCATAATTACAGTATATGAAATGATAATAATAACAATAACACTAACGCTAATTAGAAAAGTTATATTCATAATATCAAGTTATATAATACCATCAGTATTAACTATATAATATACTAAAAACTTATACTCTTTACTCTAATCTAGTTTATATAATTATTATATATAAGGTGTTATATGACATATGTGTTATGAATATAATATTTTTGCTAATTAATGAAATGCTAACTAGCTTTGCAATTGAAAATGAATTTTCATAACAAAAGTAATTGAAGTAATTATATGTTTGTTTTTAAAAAAAAGAAAATACAACCAAAGATCAATGTTCAAATATACTTGTAAAATTCTAATTATCATACCCATGCCAAATTTCAACTCTGGCCATATTTATTCAAACAAACTTATTTTTATAGTTTACAGTATATTGGCAATATTTCAAAGTTATTTTTTGGTTAAATTTTTATAAACAAAAAATATTGTTTTTGTATTTAAAACTAAAATATAGAATTTTTCATGCTTTGACCTTAATTATATTCTACATATTAGAATATTTGAATTTCATTTTCATTCATCACATTCAATTCAATATTATAAAATCAATAAATATACTTTTTTTGATATATTGGTTTTTTATCTAAGATTTTTAATTTATTAATATTAAATAAATTATGTAATAATTTAGTTTAAAAACTAGCATCGATTTTGATAAAATCAAATACTTTTTAAGAAAAATCAAATTCAATTCTAAATATTATAAAATAATGTATGGTCATGCTGATGTAACCTTTATCAGATTTAATTAGTTGTATTTGAAATATATATTAATGAAAAGTAGAGATACAGAAATTATGTGATTTAGTATAATTAAACCAAATCACACTAAATTGCATAATTTTACATCATTAACATCATTTATAAAATGTATAAAATGTTAAATTATATTATATATTTTAATAGCTCAAATAAACAATAGTGAATACTTTAAATTATAAACGGATTGATTTTTTATAAATTAGATAAATCATAAAACAGTTGAGCACAGTATTTTAAAGTTGCAAATTAGTTTTTTTAGTGATGCGTAGTATTTGAAAAATTGAAAGTTTTTTTTTCTGAAGATTGCACATTGTGAGAATAATTATTATCACTGTTCGTTATTAATTGTAATTTTCATGTAAACTATTTGAATGCTATAATATATAATTGTGATAATATTTTCTATCATTTAACGATGATATATTTATGAGGATTAGATAATTTTAGAATAATATATTTAGAATCTCACAAGCATATTATTAAAATTGCAGAAGATTATTAAATTAATCCTAATTATATATTAACAGGTTAATAACAAAAATGTAAATTAATTTATTTTTTATGTTTGTGTGGCATTTAATATAAATAAGTAAATATTTTTTGTTTAATAAATAAGTAGATTCTAATATTAAAAATATCTATAATCAAGTAAATTTTAAAAACAAATACGTATATGAATTATAATTTATTAACTTTAAATTGAACTGTATTATACAAGAATGTTCTAATAGATAGTTAAATGATTAGTAAGAAAAAAGAGAAAGAAATTGTTTGATTAGTATTAATTTATTAAATAATATTGATTATGTTCTATTATGTAAATATATGTAAGTATAAGATAATTGTATACCTTGATATATGTGATGAAACAAATTTAAATTATATATAAATTGAGAAATTTGAGACAAATCTTTTTTTTTATTTACTATTTATTTAATTTTTTTAAAAAAAAATAAAAACTTACTAACGATAAAAAAAGAAACAAACAAAATAATACTATGCTACGCAAGTACTGTCATAAAAATTAAATATGTAAAAAAGCATGGAAAGGAAGATACTGATTTTATGAGAATATGGGCTATTAGTTGTTATTCAGTGGAACGAGAAGATTACAAAATTGAAATGATTATATTTGTACCAGCTAACATGTATGAAAGAGATCTGGAAACTCAAGCAGTCTTCAAGAAAGATAAATTTTATTGTATTGGAGGTAAAATTGTGCCCAACAATTATGAAAAAGATAAAAAAGTAAAGGTATTCTATCGAATATTTAATTAAAGTTTGTAAATTATTAATATATCTAAATATTAATATATCTAAATATTAAAATTTTAGATAGCAGTTTCAATCTCAATGCATTTAACGATCTTTGATAAAATTAGTGCTTCGAATAAATGTCCCTTAAAGGTAGCTTTAATTGGGATTCTCCAAGAAATGCTACAAGAAGTTAAAAACAGTGAAAATGCTATTATTCAAACATTTATAACTGATTATATTTTTGGAGAAGAATGTAATTTTATTGTAAAAACAACTTTTCTGTACCTTAATCCACATTTTGTGCATTTGAAAAATACTGTTCGTCCTCATGAATCATTGATTTTTGTTGCCGAACAGATGGAAATTTTTAACAATGAATTTTATGTCTATGCTACGATATTAATTTTGTAGATACATGTTTTGAAAGCAAGAAAAGATATTCTGATAATATGACAACTCAAATTACTTCAACACCAAAAAATTCTATTCGCTCCAAACTTTTTGTTACTCATCAAAATGTTTTGGAGAATACAAATAAAAAATTTGAAAATGAAGATTTACCTTCAGTAAATTCAGATAATTTTCATGATAGCTTCGGATCAACATCATTAACTGATTCTCAACTATTGAAATATGTCCAAGTAGAAAATATCAGTATAGAACAAACAAATCAAGAATTTAATGAAAAAAATGATTTGGCTGATCATGATCAAGAAAAATATAAAGAAATGACAAATAAAATTATCAAAAAAATAACTAAAATAATTATGAAAAAGGTAAAGAATGAATAACTCGATCTTTAAGAAGTGCTTTGAGATCTCAAGATTCAGCAAATGCTAGGAATAATAAAAATAATTAAGATTTATTGAGAAACAGAATAAGATTGATTGAATAATTTTCTTTATCAATCTTATATTTTACTATATTACTTTATTACTTCGAATAACAATTTAACAATTATTTATTTTGCTTAATGTATATATAAGTAAAAATTAATATATATTAAAAAATGATTAAATGTGATATTATAGTATAATTATTGTATGAGAATATAAATATTAATTAATCAAAAGTAATTTTAATCACTATTACAAAAACGAAAATGCTAACTAAAAAATTTTTATAATATCATTATGAATGAGAAATTAATACTACTTACCAGCAATATTAAACAAATTTTGTTAGTAGAACAATGCCCCATTATCAAAATATTATATTTAACAATATAGATTGAATTATATCATTGAATTCAGAGTTATTCAAAAAATGATTGAATATTTGATTATTACACTTTATATCAATATTGCTTTTTTATTATTATATTGATAATCAAAATAATTACAATTAGTTACGTCAAACTCTTACTGTAGATCACTTGTACCAAAACTTCCCAAAAACATTTTGTAATAACTAAATATTTTATTAAGCAAACAACCTCTAGGC